GGCCTGGGCTACAAAGTGAGCTCAAGGCCAGCCTGAACTGCATAGCAAGATCCTGTCTCAAAAAGACAAAGAAAAAAAAAAAAAAGGTAATATGTTTCTATAAATCAGTAAGAAAATGGAGGACAACTCAACAGAAAAATTAACAAGAAAATGTGAACTGGTATTCTCCCAAGAAAATATAACTAAATGGCTAGCACCCATTTATAATATTATTCTACCTCACTAGGATTCAAAAAAATTAAAAATGCAAGATAATATTTATACCCACCAGAATAGCTAATAACAAATGTTGGCAAGGGTGCAGAGCAATGAGAAGTCACATACACTTTCAATGGGAGGACGAACTATTACCACAAAAAACAAGTTGTCTTTATTTACTAAAGTTGAAAATATGTAGCAATTGTATAGTTAGGTCTCTAAAAACATAAATGTAAGCATAAGTGCAGCAGCAACCTTGGACAAAATGTTAAAGTCAGCAAGATGTATAATAGTCTCAAAGTGGAAACCCAAATGTTCATTAACAGAAAATAGATAAGCTGCGCTATGGTCACATATAATAGAATATTATAGCTGCATTTACATAAAAAACATGAATGACTTGCCAGAGTAATTTCGAGTAACAGAAACTAGACAAAAAAGAATGCACATACATGATGTAAATAAAGCTTTGAAATACCCAAAACAAAGCTGTAGTGTTAGAAATGGTGTTGATGGAGCTCCAGTGGTGCAGTCGGTTAGCACACGGTGCTCTTACAGGAATGGTGCTGATGATTATTTCTGGAAGGGCAGCGGTCCTGGCTGCATGACGGAGGCTTCACGACCTGAGAACATGCCGTTTCTTGACTGGGGAGCTAAGCACCCAAATGTAGCTCTACAACTCAGTGAAATGCATTCTTCTTTCCTGTACTTTCTCAATCTGTGCTTCTTTAGACCACAAAAGTTTAAGCAAAATAAAAGCAAACAACAAAAAATAATCTGGCTATATTTACTCTATTCCTTACTCAGAGGCCTGGAAATTTTTTTTCCAAAACAACATAATGAATAAGTCAGAACTTTGATCCCTAAGTATTTGGCATGAGAAGTCTTATTCTCACATTTTTATGTATCAAAACATTAGTTTTCACAAACTTTTATTATTTTATTTACATTAAGAATTCTATATTCCATTTTTAATCATATAAATCCCAAGAAACAAAATCAATTCCTGTTAGATAAATTCAAATTTCTCAGCCTGCCAAAAAAGCCTTCTAACTCCTAGAAAGAACATTCTAGCCTTCTTGCTTCGGCTGGCTCCAAATAACTAGTAGAAAGTTATCTACCTCACTGAGTTATCCACTTGTGGATTGTCTTTTGTTCCTTCCCAAAAACCTTCTAACAGCTTTTGAGAATATGCTCAAGTCCTACCTCCTCCCTGAAGCCAAAATAGTTGAGTACATAAATATGTTTGTTTGTTTCTCAAGACAGGGTCTCACTATGTAGTTCAGGCTGGCCTTGAATTTACAGTAATCCCCCTGCTTTAGCCTCCCAGGTGCTGGGATTACAAATCTGCACCACCATTCCTGGCAAGTACATACAATTTTTATATGATTTTTGTTTGCTCTAATGCTTCCAATACTATGGACTTATGGTTCCTAGTGCATCAACTAAGCGATACGGTAAACGTTTATAGATATGGCAGAGTTGGATAAATATCTGCTGTCTGCTTGTGGATATATGAGAGCCTACGCAATAAAGTAACAAAAACCAACTATTCCTCTAGGGTCCCTAAGAGCACTAGTGTTTTGAAGGCTGTGAGACCAGAAGTTCAGCAGTTAGGGGACCAGCTATTTCCATGATATGCAAGGTGCAGAGGACATGTGAAATTATGGAGGGCAAATCACGATGTGTTAAAATAGGAAAGTTTGGACTACAATAGAAGTTTAAATACTCAGATATATAAATATACAGTGGTGCCTCAGTTCACGAATGCTTTTGTTTGTGAACAATTTGTAAAAGTGTTTTACAAGTTTGTTTTTGTTTGCGAACTCTGCATCAGGTGATGCATCTTTCTAGAATCGTGGAACGAATTAGGTTTGTGAACCCAGGTACCACTGTATATATCTTCATGCATCCTAATGCTCTCAGAAAGAGTTGTTAATCATAATTTCAACAAAATCAATAAATATTTTTTTTTTAATGTTACTTAAGCAGTGATGAAACCTTGTTAACCTTTTTCACTGCTCCATTCTAATAAATATTTTAAATAATGTTAAAAATAGCCTTGCTCACTCTTTTAGGAATCTTTTTTTTTTTTTTGGTACCAGGAATCAAACTCAAGACGTTATGCTTGCAAGGCAGGCACTTGGGCCACTGAGCTATATCCCCGGCCCTATCTTAGGAATCTTAACAACCTCTAATAAGATAGCACTTTTAAAATAAACAGGAAGAACTAAAATATACCATGAGAAATGTTAGTAATCTGGTGTGGCATAACAAATGAACACATATGTGGACCACAGAACAATCAACAAATAAAAGAATTAAGTGTTTCACAACTTGTTGCCAAAGCTAATAAATAACTGGCTCGCTGAATAGGAACATCTTTAAGTTCATGTTTACACTGGTCTCCCAATGACTGTGCCATCATTTCAGAAATCCTTAACAAAACCAGTTTTGACCATGTACATACAAAGAGCCAATTCAAGTACACGTCATTAAAACACTGTTAAAAACCCACAGAAATTTCAACATACATGAGCTTTACGATAAAGGTTGTTGTCTTTGATTCCTGGCAGATATCTACGCCTTCCCAAAATGGTCTGAACAAACCCATCTCTTTCACAGTTCTTCACTGTCTCTCTCAGGAAGCGACTAATCCCTACAAAGAAAATATGGAATTACTTAGTTACAACCTAAAATGCCAGAATGAAATACACCAAAATCCTGCTCAAGATTTTTAACCCTAATATCATATCAAAACTACACATACAAACCTTCATTTGCTTTCTGTAGACTTGAAAAAGGGAAAAAGTAACTTTAGAAATAACATAATCTGCTTTTTAATCAGCAAAAACAAAAATACATGACACTAAATTCCAGAACAACTAGGGTACTTGGGGGTGTTTTTACTCAAAGATCTTGCGCCCATTTCACATGACACTTCCCAGACTTCCCTTCCATAGCGATGTTATCTTTCTGCACTCTTTGAAGCCTAAAACATTCCAATAGCTCCACTTTACCATCTATATTTTGACAGAAAGTAGGACCTTGCTGAAATTAATACAGGAGTTATAATAAACATCTTACTAGTAATATGAATCTCTACTTAAAATTCAAAAACACATCCCAGCACTCAGGAGGCTGAGGCAGGAGGATCATCATGACTTCGAAGCCCGCCTGGGCTACATAAATGATTTCAAGGCCAACATGCACTACATAGTGAGATCCTGCCTTAAAAAGAAGAAAATTCAAAAATGCAACATGCGGTGAGTATTTAAAGCACTTAGATTCCCTAGAAGCACCCATCTTCTGCCATCCAGGGCCAGGGCCAGGGCTGTGCCCACGGAGCTCCAGGATGAATGTGCTGCTGTGGTGGGGCGGGGGGTCAGCCCAGCCTTGCTCATTCCTGTCTTTGCTCAAGAGGTTCTTCTCTGCTAGTGCACCCCGCCTCTTTGTCACACCGGCGGGTGATGGAAACCACGCTGCGCTATCTTTACTTAGATGCACAGACTCTGGCTTCTGTCACTCTGCTCATCCTAGGAAATAAACACAAATGCTTCCCAGCTGGAAACCCTCCTTGGGGCTTTCTCCTATGGGGTTGGCACAAGAAAGGACACTTGGAGAGATGACAAGTAGAGAAGGGGCGGAGCCCCTGGGGCCAGGGGACTAACTGTGGGACAGTGCGACCAGCGCCAATGCAGCAAGCTCGGAAAGCATTCAGTACGCCCTCCTTTCCTGGGAAGAATCACTGAGATATCACAGCCCGATGCAGAGCCGAGGAAAGTGTGAACACGAGACTGTGCTTCTACACATATTCTCACCCCACTCCTGTACCAGGTCTTCTAATGTTCAAATTGTCAGAGCTACTTGAAAAAATTTTGCAGTATAATTTAGATCTGGTTAAAAAACAAAAGAACTGTTCAAGTGAACGTTGGACACATTTTAACACATGTTCCTGCCCTAGCACTGCTGCTAATACAGACGGGAAACGCGGCTGTCTCTCTCAGCCCCATTATCAGCCGCAGGCACTCGCTGCTCTGCTTGATAATACTATCTTAGTTTCTAATGTCCTTAAATCTCCCAAAATTGGGTTACACTGTATGTTCTCATACTATATGTAAGAAGTCCTGCTCAAGTAAAAGACATAACAATATCTTTAATTTTAGCTATTCTACTGTTTTTGTAATGGTTTCTCTTTGGTTTCAATGTGCTTTTCCCTGATGACTAATATCAACAGTTAATGTCATTCAAGTATTTGGTAAAGAATCTGCT